GTGCAAAGTCGAACTGCTTTTCAAATGTGTAGACAAGTCATGCACTTACAGTAAAAGCAGTTGACAACTTTTACCCACCATGATTATCATGGCTTTGAGATAAGAAAGAAGTAGAAGAAGAGATGCTTCTAGAACTGTTTGATGATCAGCAGCAGTCTCTCCAAAAGGTCAACGTAGGTTTTCTATTGAAATTTTCTATCCAAATTGTGTCTTATCATAGGGATTTCTGTATTTCCAAAGAAGGCTGTGTATGCAGATGTTTGGTGCCATGAGAACCACCAATTACTTCAGCCAATGCCAGCCTACCTCTCTACCATTCAACGTCCCATTGATTAACCTTCCCATCTTCTTCCAAGATTTTGGTCTTGTCAGACTGGATGTTTCTGTCCAACTTGGAGCCAGTTTTCTCTTCCAGTCTTACTGTGACACCAACCAGGACAACCAAACTGTCCTCCATCTTGTTCCGGTATTCAAGCCTCGAGTGAAACCAATACTTGTGGCCAAATTTCCCATTGTAAGTTCCTTCAGTCTTCCTTTCTACATTGTGAGTTGTCCATACTATAATTATCAGCATGTTAATGATTATGAATTATAAACAAAAGGTAATAAGACCAAATCTTCAGATTGTGACAATACCATCTAATAATGGTAACGTTTCGTCACTCACTATTTATTTGGATTTGGTCTTATTACTTTGTGTTTATAATCCAAATTGTGCCTTATCATTATAAATTATAAACACAAGGTAATAAGACCAAATCTTCAGATTGTGACAATACCATCTAATAATGGTAACGTTTTGTCACTCACTATTTATTTGGATTTGGTCTTATTACTTTGTGTTTATAATCCAAATTGTGCCTTATCATTATAAATTATAAAAATAGGATTTCTGTCTTTAAAATACAATGGCACTTTGTCATAAAAACCTCTTTATTTTCAACACCAACTTGTCGTTCTAACATTCTAAGGTTCTAAGTTGGGGGTTATTTATCTAGTGCAGTAAAATCCCCATCTACCACCCAACTAGACGAAAGAGACCTCCTCCGTACCATCAAAATCCAATGCCTACAGGAATGGAAATCTGCACATGACTGGTACAGAGCAGGAGGGACAAGCACCGGTTCTGTCCTCCCAAGAGAACAACAGTCTTTGATTTTCAGACTTAATTCTGGTCATCTACGGACAATGACTTTCCAGAATGGTTGCAGGGTCTTCCCACTATGTACTAAGTGCAATTCTCAGCCTGCAACCCCAAGACATATTATTGACTGTATTGACTCATCCATTGATGAGCTCTACTCTTCCCCGGCAGACACCATCAAAAATCTCAAGCTTTACAAGCTTGATACCTTAATATGATTGAGTGGAGATAAGAAAGAAGAAGAAGAGTAAAATCCCTCTATAAAGGACATCTAATTATAGAGCCAAAGTCTCCTCTTTAGGGAGAGGTGTCCTTACTCATACCTGAGAGTTGCTAAATAGATAAAATGCTAATTTAGCAAATAAAAATTTGTCCTTTTTATAGAGGTGTCCTCTAGCAGGAGTATCCTTTCATGGAAGTTCTAATGTATTAATATACACGCACACAAAGCCTTTATTAAGACCCCATTGGTCTTACACAGATTCTCCAGAGTATAGACAACAATGATCAGGATGAGTGGAGTTTTACATGTACAATATTACATGAAATGCAGTAAAAAGCATGGTCTAACAAAAGAAAAAAAGAAGTTTTTAAGATTAATTATCATTATTATAATGGAAAGTCTAATTCATCAGATTCGCTTTTTTCATAACTCTTCTGAAGTAATTATTGTATTAATATAAAATCTGAAATATTTTGAAACAAAGTTACTTTAGAAAATTATAACTCCGCCTCTGCTGGTCCCAAGCCCGGAGGAAAAAGGAGGAGGGGGAGCAGTAACAAGCTCGCTAAAAAAACTGGGTTCAGCTGTAAGGGCTCCTGATCCAAGGATACAGGATGAGCAGCGTTTGTACTCCATGTTAGGAGCAGCTGTACATGGCGTCTGTTCCTCATGTCAGAGGCGGCCATTTCTTTTGGAGCTAAGTCGGCCTGCCACTGAGTAGTGCTCCCAGTCTTAATGACAAAGGCAGACACATTCTACTTCACCCAGTCATGATGGTTGTCAAACAGACACCATCAAGGGTCACAACTTGATACCCTAATATGATTGAGTGGAGATAAGGTAGAAGAAGAAAGAAGAAAATGATTATAAGGGCAAGCTTTCGAGTAGTAACTCTTCTACGTCATATTTAAAGAAAAAGTAGTTAACTGGCCTTGTCCTTATTGTTTTATATTAAGAGCATTGCTTGATGCAAATATTTATATGTGATTTTACTGTCCTCAAAGCTTATGTCCATAGTTTGATTGAATACTGTTGTATAGTTATTATTTAATTTATTAATTAAACATTACTCTCCAGATGAAATTATTTTATTACAATTATATATATTTAAAAGGTTACATTTATTTTATTTTACAATTTTTTTATTTGAATTCAATGTTTTTCGCTTCACGCGCTCTGTGATGATGATATATTCTATCTTTAAACACAGAAAACTACATATACCATTTCTGATATTCCAGTGTAGCGTATATAAACAAAATTGTCAATACAGTATTAGAGCTCAAAGAAGCAGTCTGGTAGATTTTTTTTTTACTTATCCTTTTAGTCTAAATTAGACAAGATCTTGGAGGTCATGCTCATAAAGAAGCTCAAGAACTCTTCTTGGTTCTCTTTACAGTGATCTCTTGTCCTTTCCAATACAGTTTAGTATATGTTGGGGAGTGGCCTCTTTGGTTTTGCACGTAGTGCACATGGGGAAGCTTTTGGCTCCCTCTTTATAGACTAGAGGGCGCAGGTGACCAGATTTCCATCTGGCCAACTTTGTCGATTCCATTCTGTTTAGTTGGAGGGTCTGTTTTTTTGGGGTTTTCTATTTGGTACCAAGAATGATGGTAGGTCTGGTAGATTAAATTGGTGAAACCGCTGGGAGGGTTCACTACTGATGAGTCAATCCCTCCTAATATTTTTTCATCTCAGTAAGGACAGTAGAAGTTTGTTTTATGTGTAAAAGAAACATTTGTGCCTTAAAGTTTTCATTTTCTATATATATATATATGGCATGATATTGCTTTATACTAATATACATATACCCACACATCAAGTCTTATATCTCTTCTCTCTCTCAATTTAATACTTAATGAATATTGTTGTGTGTCAACAAGTAGCCAACCAATGGTACACAGGAGCAGTTTAAATTATTTTAATTTTTGCTTATTTAATTAATTATTTAATCAGAGAAATGGCACCACAGAGAGGACGGGGTTAAATTGTATTTGACCATTGACCACCACAGCTGACATGTTTCTATTATAGGTTGAAGATTAATAGTGAAAGTTATTTTATAAGAAACTAGCGGACGTACCCGGCTTCGCCCGGGTTTTACCCGAGTAAAGGTTTGTCTAACGAATCTCTCGATAAAGTGAACATTTTTTCCCGGTCCCTTGAAAAATACTCGATAAGTTGAATAAAATCAATATTAATTGGTTCCCTCGGTAATTGGAAGTTAAAGGAATAGTATCTTGCCTTGGAATTGTATCATTATTCTTGTCTCAAATAAATTGCCGTGTCATCCTGAATTTTGTCTTTCCTAATTTTCTACATTACAAAATCATCGTATCATCATGATAATATTTAGAGCAGATTGTTGAATTATAACAGATAAATTAGAATATTTATCTTGATTATTTTAAAGCGAAAAGTTATTTCAAAAATTTTATTTGCTAGAAACCTTCCCAGTACTATACTAAATAACTTCCCAAAGTTTCATGGCGTTCCAATGAGTGGTTTGGTCAGGCATAAAGGACAAACAGACCACACACACACACACACACACACATACATTCATTTTTATATATATAGATTGTACTTTATATATATTTAGATATCTTTAAAGATAAATGAAAGATACGCCATTTTTATGCTATTATAATTATTTTATTCTTTTCCAATTCTTGCACACGTGCACATTATATCACAAACCTTTGTTATGTACAAGATGATGATAAAAACATTCGATTTGTTTCGAATCAAAACAGAGTAAAGTAATAATTGCCAATTATAAATTAATCTTCGTCCTGTTTTGGATTTCAACACCGGAGATTAGAATGTACAGTTATAGCTCCATCCCCTCCTACAACCGGCCCAG